TTCCGCCTTTCTAGACAGAATACAGGCTTGAGTTTTGGTGGCGTTGAATTCAACTAGGTTGTTGGTTCCCCAGGCTGTGATTTCAGCAAGGTCTTCATTGACAGCAGTGACCTGCCTGCGCCGTGAGTTCTCAGTTTCCTGGGAAGAAATGAGAATTCTGGAGAAGAACGCAGTATGGAGGGTACTATCATCTGCAAAGCTCTGAATGGGGCAAGTTGTTACTCCCAACAGATCATTGATATGAAGAAGGAATAATGTTAGTGCCAAAATTGATCCTTGTGAAACGCCGGAATTGATACATCGTCCACCACCACGTGAAGCGATTTGCCTGAAAAAAAAACTTTATAAGAGATGGCATAGCTGAGGTGACAAGTTGTATGATGGTACTTCGTGGAGGAGTCCTTCGTGCCAAACACGGTCGAATGCTTTCGAAATGGAGCTTGCCATAAATGGGTGACGTAGGCAAGTTGATCTCCAGTAGATCTTCGGTGGAGAAAGCCGTATTGTCTATCATTGATGATTCCTGAGCTCTCCAGATATTTGATAAGCTCAATATTGATGGCTTTCTCCATCACATTGGAGATGACTGATAACAGGGCAATGGGCCTGTAGTTGTTGGGCAGATTCTTGTTTCCTAATTTAGGGATCGGTTGGACCCTCGCTGTCTTTCAGCATGATGGAAAAATAACCGACCTGAACGAGACGGTAAACAACTTGCAGAGAATCGGTGTTAATTCTGGTGCACATTTTTTGAGGATAATGGGTGGAATTCTATCAGGACCGTTAGCCTTATTCTTTCTGAGACCAAGTAAAATTCAACTGATAGTGCGTTGACGGAAGACGATTTCGGGCATTCGACTCTCAACGGGTGGAATGTCTGGCCGCACTTTTCCATGGAAATCTGGAGTAGAGTTCGCTGCGAACATTTCTGCAAAAATATTTCCTTTCTCCTGCGATGTTGTTGCTAATGTGCCGTCGGATTTGGACAGTGGTGGGAATGAACTATTAGTGAAATTTCTTCCGACCGCTTTAGCAAAGGACCAAAACGAACCGGAGCCATTGGGACAATCTTAGAGTTTCGATCTTATCTTGGCATTGTATGTTTCTTTCGAAGCATCTATCGTTTGGCTGTAGTTTTCCTGGTATCAACGTATTCTGCTCTAGTCGCGAGGTATGGGTTTTTGTGCCAGCGATGGTAGGCTGTTTGTTCCAAGGCAACAGTTCTAGAACATTTCTTGTTGAACCAGGGTCTCGATGGTGATGATCTTTTCGAAGAATGAGGTATGTTCGTGTCCATTTCGAGCATAATGATCTCGGATATTTCCGCAGCACACTGTGAAGGGTCCTCAGAGTCAAAGCATACTGTTTGCCAAGGAAACTTGAAAATATTTAGGCGTACAGTAGTAGCAAAGTCTGACGTACATCAATCCAGTAATTTTGCGAGACAATCCATCACAGGGTGCTGAAATTTACATTCAGAATATTGTAAGATCCAGACGACGTTCATTAGAATTTTTCTAATGAAACATCCTGTATTTCTCATCACAGATGTATTTCGACATCATTCGCCTTTTTATCGCTTGAAATAAAATCAGAATTGGTTGTGGCGTTTTCAAGTTATGAGTATGTTCTTTATGTTTATTATTATCTCATGGCTACTCATAAGGCATGGTTTCTTCATTTCATTTGAGTGTGGAAATATTGCTTGCCACATGACATCCGAGGTTTCACATAGATCATTCAGGTATTTTTGCGATATGTGCATTGTCCAAATTCATAATATTCCGTAATCTTGTCACTTACGATTTGAATAATATGTGCCTATGTGAAACGAACAAGCATACCAAAAGCAACGCCTGCCTTTGAAAAAGTGTCTACAATACGAGAATGAGAACAATTTTCCAGAATTTGGGCCACTCTGATTGTCGTTATTTGTTACAATCCAAATCTCCATTCAACTTGAAGTAGGTGAACATAATGATAAAAACAATATTTTTTTTACTGCGCGGGTTTCGGAATGAAATCCAGCAGAATTTTGAATGGATACAAGATATATTCGATTGTGGCGATGTTTGACATGTCATTTCACGAATAGTATTTCGAATAATTAATTCTTAGTCTGCAGAAAATCTGTGAAAGTAGCATTCTGGATAAATTTGTAGAAACTCACTCTGTTTTAAATTCGAACTTGGAAAGCCTGTGAATGTTTTTATTGTACAAAAATATACGAATGGTCACTAAAGAAATTCGATTATACCGTATAGCAATGCAGTATTTCCACAATTTAATTGAATGAAACAACTATGACGTAGAACTCCAAAATAGTAGTAAAAATAGGAAAATTATCCATAACTCGACAACGCCGCAACCGATTTCGATTTTTTTTTGCGATAAAAAGGCGGAAGATGTCGGAATGAATTTGTGAATGGAAATACAGGGAGTTTTATTTGAGAAATTCAAATGAATATCATCTGAATCTTGCAAAAAAACTCCAAGAAATTTCTAACGATGTTGATAAAAAAAAATCATAGAATCTAGAAAAGGACCCCGCACAAACAACACCCGGAGCCCAAAGAGAACCATGCAAACATAATCGAACTTCAGTCTCTAGGCGCCAGTCCTTGTAGATTGGCTTGATTTTTTCTTTCATTCACGTTCCATAAACTATAGACTTGAATTTATGTGCCCGACAGGCGACGGGGTTTTCTAATTGTGTGAGGACCGTAGCGCTGCTACGGGGGAGGTGGATTCGGTTAAGGATGTTTCTAGTCACCTTTAGTGATTAGTGATGTCCCGTACTAGGGCCTCATACACGATAGGGCGAGTCCAACTATCCCAGCAGCCAGAATTGAATCTGGAACATGTATGAATTGTATGTTGTAACTCATGTGCCGTATATGCAGTTAGCTCCGGAATGGTGGATTGAATTGATGGATGTGCCTTCATAGATCATTTATGTTACACTTGATCTTCACATTCTCACGTTTCACTATTTGTGAAAAATCTCGGCCACTTGACGAATGTGAATGAACAAGTTTCTTCAAGTCTTCATGAATCACAATAAATTCCACAAAGGGAATATTCTGTTACAACACCCAATCTGAAATCAACAATCAGTAGCCGCGTGACAAGTTCAGTATTTTTTTGTCATTATGTCCCATACAACACCTTTTCATATTTATCGGAAACATCCAGTATAATATAGGATTATTTATATTACACCATCATACGTATCGAATTATATCATTGGAATGTGATATGAATATGAATCTAATGATATTATAATAATTACTGAAAGCAAGCAAATATGAAAATGATGGAAACGCCTGATCCTGAGTGGAAAAAAAAAGTGAAAAAATCTGTCGATTCCAGGATTCAACTCTCCCTATTAGAAATGGAAGCGTGAAAGACCGAATCATTTTCCCATCTCCTAGGTATTGTTCGATTTTCATTCTGGCAGAGCTTGTATACCAACGAAATTCGCTATCTGTACATTATTATAATATTATTAAATTCATATATCTGCTATTGTTAATGAATTTCTAATGTTCACCCTGTATATGAATACTAAACTCATTTTCGTCTCCACATTCTCACGTTTCAATATTTGTGAAAAATATCGGCCACTATGCGAATGTAAGTGAACAAGTCTCTTCAACTCTTCATGCAAATGGTAAGTTCCTGAATTAATAACTATGACACTCGTCATGATAGGAAACTGAATTTTCAAGACAGCGTTGAGGAGCGAATGATGATTATATTAAAAAATAATTAAACACGATTTTTTTTCATTTTCATCATCGAAAATCTTCATGATCACCCTATATATCTCAACGAAATCATGTTCATACGGTATCAGCTATCTTGAGAGGTTGACAATTCACTCGAATATTATTTTCCAAATCACCCTGTATGAAATGTATGAATTGTGATTCATGATGGAATGAGAATAGTATATTGCATGCCTAAATTATGTTTTCGATATTTCATTATTACATCGAATTTCCAGACATCACTGAAATGTTTATATGTTTCACTCTGTAAACAATTACATCATCTGAACCATCTGAATTATGTTGAGTAATATGGAGGTTCGTTGATGATATGAGCGGAGAAAATTGAACTAGGCATCTTTGAATTTCGAGAAAATAATTAAATGAAAAATACCGATTTGTAACTTCAACGCCCTGTATCTCAGAATGTGTTCATCAAAGAACTTTACGATTCTGCAGGTACAATCAGTTCATCGAATTCTACAACATACTGAGAATTCAGAAAATTTCACCGAGAACCATTTTACGTACTAAAAGTGCGGGTTCCTTTCTAAATGTAAAATTGAGCACCCTGTTAAAGAAGATATTACTACATTGGTATACGGTAAACTACCGTGTGCCAGGAATATTCTCGAAATTTGAATAAATGAATAATACCATGTCCAATTCAATATGACTCTTCAATAGTGGTGAATATTGATTCATCAATGAAAGCTTGGCAACGCCGCAATCGATTCAAATTTTTTTCACAGCGATGTGGATGCAAACCTTGACGAAATAAATTCCGAATAAATAGTACTGAGTGTTCCATTTAGAAAAAATCGTCTCCGAGTTGTCCCGCTTTTATGAAACACCCAGTAATGTTGAAAATATTTTTGAAACAAGCAACTTTGGTAACTGAGAAAGTTTCTCCTTCGAATTTCTTCTCTATAGGTCATGGCTTTCGAGATATCGAAGAATTACGCACGAAAACGCCACACTGTATAACATAGCAAAATATCTTCGATTCTCCCAGCTGCGCATGTTCGATTACAGAAAATGGAGATGTTACTGCAACACTCTGCGTCATATCTTGAATCCTATTGTTGAATGATTTTCAGTTTTGATAAACGATCTAACTCAATCATGGTGGGAATTTTCTTATATATTCTCGAATAAAATAGGAGGTGTACTAGATGTTTCATTGTTCGACCAAATTCCAAGTAGCCGTCCTATTTTGAATAAAAAATGAGGAGGAATAGATCGAAAGACTTTGTTTCAGGTATCAATCATCCGATAAATTTCACTATTGAACCGATGATCGTCGATTCCTGGGTACTTAACGTGAATCTAAACTTCGTGAATGGTACTGAATATCTTAGGAACTCAGCCTTCAGTGGATTTTCGAACTGCACAATTATGTCTGCCTCGTAAGTATACTGTGTGTCCAGAAATAATCAAGATGTACAGTACTTCACTTCCATATATGTCATTGAGGAATTATACAGTGTGTATCAGCCGAATGGAATGAATTCGATAGTCCGCATTCTTCCTAACGAACACTGCTCCTTACTGATCCTTGAGATTCCATGTGTTTGACACCTAGCCATTTTTTGATCAAATAAAATAGGAACATTTTGCAAACGAACGTCAACAACCAGTAAACCTTTTTCGCCCAGTATTAGAATTGTCAGAACATTTATTTTTGGCGGATCCTAATTTCAATATTTCAAATGATATTGACATGTTATTGGGTTCTAATGTTTTTTGGTCCTTAATATGTGAAGGTCAAAAAAGCCTCGGCGAAAATATATATAATATTATTGCATAATACACGATTAGGTTGGATATTAGCGGGGAATCTATGTCCAGAACCGAGTAATCTTTCATCAGTACTGAGGCAGAAAATATAATAAACGAAAATATTTCGAAGTTTTGGTCTATTGAAGAACCAGTTAATAATTCACCAATTCTGTCGCAATCAGAAAAATATTGTGAAGATTATTTTGAATCAATCACAAAAAGAGACCATACTGGCAGATTTATAGTGAGTATTCCATTCAAAAAGTCAGTAAGTATGCTAGGCGACTCTCGTCAGAATGCTTCGAAAAGATTTTATGCTATTGAAAAAAGAATGATTAGAAATCCTGAATTAAAACTGGATTATATAAGGTTCATGCAGGAATATGAAACAATGAATCATATGACCAAAATAGATGATGATAATTATAATTCCCGATCATTAGGTTTTTATTTGCCTCATCATGCGATTATAAAAGACACAAGTATTACTACAAAGGTTCGTGTGGTTTTTGACGGATCGGCAAAAAGTAATACAGGTGTGTCTCTAATGATGTCCAATTCAGTAGACCAACTTTGCAAAGATATATGTTTTTCATACTATTAAAATTCCGAAAACATAAAATAGTAATATCTGCAGATGTGAGTAAAATGTATCAGCAAATTCTGATAAATGAGAATGAACGATGTTATCAAAAAATATTCTGGCGGTCTGGTCCTACCGAAAAGGTGTCATGTTACGAATTCAATACCGTGACTTATGGTACAGCATCTGCACCATATTTGGCGGTGAGATGTATGATGCAGTTGGCAAAAGAAAATATAGGTAAGTTTCCAGAGGCTAGTAAAATAATAGCAAATGATTTTCATATGGATGATTTACCAACAGGTGCGGACTCCGTACAGAATATACTACAGAATCAAAAAGAAATTTATGAAATATTAGCTAGTGCAGGGTTTGAACTGATGAAATGGCTTTGCAATGATGTAGATATTCTGAAACGTTGGCATGTGAATGAAAAATTGGATGTCGGTGTGTTGAATATCGGGAAAAATGAAAGTAGCAAAACTCTAGGTATATACTGGGATTCAGTTTATGACAGCATTCAATAATCCATAAAGGATCTTGAAGATTTTGAGAGGCAACGAATAACTAAAAGATTAATTTTATCAACTGTTTGTCAACTTTTTGATCCTCTCGGTTTATTGGCTCCGGGTCTAGTGGAAATGATTACAGAGATATAGGGTGTGAAAAATCGACATTTTTCAACTTCAGGAATTTTTTTTGTCGAAACTATCAATTATTATTGGTCAAAACGGCTCACATGTCCCTATCTCAACTTTTGATCAAGTATCTACTGATATTCATTTGGGACATATACCGGGTGATCAAGAATCTGAATTCTGCACCACCCTGTATTTGTTTCAATTAAATGTCAGTAGATAGTTGATCAAAAGTTGGGATAGGAACATGTGAGCCGTTTCGACCAATAATGAATAGTTTCGACAAAAAAAATCTCAAAGTTGAAAAATGTCGATTTTTCACACGCTATATCTCTGTAATCATTTCCGCTAGACCCCAAGTGTGATACATCGATGAAATCAGCTCTTCAGAGAGAATCTGAAAATGCGATGAAATACAGGGTGTTCTGTTTGAAATAACAAAGTTGTTGCTACTTTTTGATAAAAGCGGCAACGCCGCAGAGCTGAAAATATTTCAGATCGATAGATCAAGAGCAATTACTTGAGTAACCAAATTTTCAGACTGATCTTATGTCCCGTTCTCCGTAAACGTCTAAGGTGCCATCGACCGTGACCCACCCTGTATAAGATATTGTGTATGCACACAGAGCAAGAGTATAAAGTGAAAGATTGTAGGTTCGATCCGTTCCGTAAGTGGAATGTCAATTGGTGCAAGACAGTATGTTTCAGCTCGCCAAGCTTCATCAGTTGCACTAGGCCAATCGACGATCCACTCACGGACCGGTCACTATTTGAAGACCAACATGTAGTCTTCAACAGTGTGGAATACCAAACATCCGTATTCCATCAAAATCACATTTACTCAACGTCGTAATGATGACGTGAATATCACATCATAAGAAGACCGTTATATTGACGTCGGAAATTGGTGTAGGACATCCCTGACCAATTAGGTACCTACGTCATAGTGGGTTGACCATTCGTCATCTGTTTACCTGGGATAGTTTAAGTTTTGCTCAAAAACATGTTTTTTGAAAATCGTTGTTAGCTGTGCATGAATCACCTGGTTCATCATCTTCAGTCTTGTTTCATGAGTAATAAACTGCCCCTGAATATAGCCCAATGATGAATAATCGAGAAAAATATTTCGAGGTGAGTGAGCATCGGAAAAATTGAAACTTTGAACTAATGTTTCTGAGCTGAATGACATGAATTCATAGCAAAATATGTTATTGATATCTACTCTCGGATCTACAAATATCAAAATAGTTATTCATGTATCAGGGGCTTGTTAATAACCCTCGGTGTTGCTTGGGCTCTCACTTGCACGCAACGGTCAATAAAATCGAGTTGGGAACGCCTGAAATACATACGATATTTCATGCACGACCGGTATATTTGATATTTCATTGCGAATACCTTTTCACCTCTCAAGAACGATAAAAATACATCGCGGCTGTTGTGAGGAATATCATTGATGGAATCAACGTTACCATGGTAACTCAGTCAATTTTGTGAAATAATAGTAGACTATTTCATTTGCTCGATTATATCATTTTGCATCTCATCGATATCATGAAAACTGTAATACTAGATAGTGAATCATTACAACCGGAACATCAATGTCCTTAATCATACAAAAATGCTTATTACGAGTTACCTATACGCCTGACGGTGAAGTGCCACTTCACCCGCGCTAAACCAGGCGGTTGAGTGGAACTTCATCGCCAGTGGATTCGCTGAGCGTAAAAGGAGTACAGCGGGCAGTGAAGTGTGATCAAGCGGTGAAGGAATTCCACTGTTTTCCTAGTAATCTCGAGTAGACTACCATTCGATCTATCTCCGCCAGTCGCATACATAATTCGGCCAAATGAATTCAACATCAATAATGAATTCCATATTAACAGTTGATGAATGTCAAAAACGGTCGTATATTGAACGGTGTATGTATCTCAATCGCAACTTGCTTTTATTGACCTATAATGATCATTCGGGCTCTTACATAAATATGCGATTGTGTATAACATAGCAGAGCACATATCACTTGAAGTTTCATAGGACAGACAGTATATGGGTTGATGGTCCATCTTCCATCCTCTTCACCATTACCTCTTGGGCTTTGGAATTGTCTTGATCCACGCAGCACTGGTATCACTGCTTGTAGGTTTTGTAGTCTTACCGGTGACAATTTCGAAGATACTTCACCTTCTCAACATGACTAAGGTCTGGAATTTCCAAACTGGCCAGGTCTCTTCAGCAAGTTTCACGCCGTCATTATTTTCTGATACATTTTGGTTGTTCAGCAATAGCTTACAGAGAAGCACACTCTTCTGTTAGGAGATTAGGCTCCAATATAATTTGCGAAGCTTTTATTGGCCTTTGTCACAGGACTGGGCCCATAAACTGTTGAACCTGCTGAGTTCGGAATATTGACATACGAATTAGGTCATTTATTTCGAACATTAACAATCTGTAAACTTTTGAGAATAAGATCTCAATTTCCCGAAACATTCGTAAATATTCATTCATAACTACCATGGAAGATAAAAATAGCAACTTCCCAATAAATGAAGAAATTCATGAAAGTTCAAATCAATTTCACAATGAAGAAACAAATTGAAATATAGAGATTGAAACTGTCAGCAGATTTCCCACTGCTATCTACCAATAAATTATCATTCATATTTTCATATTTTCCATATGACACCAACTTTGTGAGAGACACTGTACGAAAGATAAACCAAGAGATGAAGAGAAATATAGATTTCAACTTGGTATCCCAATTCATGAGTGAACGATTGATTGCAGATATAATCCACAAAATTACACCCTTGTGTACACTTCATACTATCCCCATATTTTGGAGACTGGGTTTTCCTACAATTGGGGCACGATTTCCTTCGAGGATGGAAGTACTGATGCAATTTACGGAAGGGGTGGATATGATAGACATTTATGTGAGTACCAACATGTAAGTTATATGATTTGAGTTTTTTGCGTACTTGTGACTGTGATGACGATAAACTTGTTGTGAGAATCTATGAATGGCAAAATTACTTATCCAGAAGTCACACCAAGAGGAATTATTTACCTCAATCGATAGAGAATATACTACTGTTACTAGAATGAGAATTGAATCGTCAATGAGGGCAGCACATAACGAACTTGAAGACAATTCAGAATAAAGATCAGAAAATGCATGCAGTTGTTAACCTGGAAATCGATTCAATATTCATTCAATTACTCGAGAACATTGAAAATAACTGTTTCTCCGAATATTTCTCGATCTCGATTTCAGGCACTATTCCTACATCTGGAATATTTCAACTATTTTCAAAATCTGGTTTGAAGAAAAGGAAGTTGTTTTTTATTCTCATCAAACCTCAAGTGCATCAAAACTGTCAACCTGTTTAGAAGAAAATTAGATTTGTAACGGCATCAAAGAATTCTCGAAATAAATAGCAATGTTCAATTTTTCAGAATGATTGCTGGAAACTGTAAGTATGTGGTAATAAAATTGAATCTTAACAAATCTTCAGGATATATTTCTGTCGATACTTCTGCCATCTGAGTACCTTTTGCCTTTTTACAGTGCTTTATTGTCATGCCGATGATTCCTTTCTTTTGTTTCATAATATACTATCCAACTGCTTTGAAATGTCTTTCCCTATTCAAAAAATTAAAATTAAAAACAGAAACAAAAAAGGTTGGATGACTAAAGCAATTCGTATTTCTGGTATCAATCTGAGAAGTCTCCATCACATCAGGAAATACTACAACAATGACTTTATTCATCACTATTACATCACCTACAGAAGAATTTACAGAAATGTTATTGAGACAGCAAAACGAATGTATTACCATAACAGAATTTCCAAAAGTAATAATATCCCTAAGGAAACCTGGCGTGTTGTGAATGATCTTCGTGGGAGAAATCCTGTTTCAAATGATATTACTTTAGACCCTAACATTCTTAATGAATTCTATTGTTCCATAGCTGGAAATTTGGCTGAAAAAATAGAAGTGGCATCAGACCCGCTACTCTATATGACAGATATTTTCGTTACTGACACATTTGTTCTGGATGATACTGATTTGGCTGAGCTAATGGATACAATAAAACATTTGAAAAATAAAACGTCCTGTGGAAATGATAATATTTCAATAAGAATACTCGAGAATATGCCGTTATTCACACTAGAACTTCTGGTCCAGTTGATCAATGAGTCTTTCACGAAAGGACTTTTTCCAAATTTCCTCAAAATTAGCGTAGTTATTCCTCTTCACAAAGGTGGAGATACTTCGGATCCTACAAATTTTCGCCCTATTTCTCTCATCCCGACCTTGGGAAAAATTATTGAGAGATTGGTTAAAACTAGATTGATGAAGTTTTTATCAGCTCGAAATGTTCTGAATCCTCAACAATTTGGGTTTCAACCACAAAAAAGCACAGGAGACGCTGTTTTCTCATTTTTAAAAGAATTATATAGTAGAGTCAATCTCAAAGAGGTTTGCGCAGCAGTATTTTGTGACCTGTCGAAAGCTTTCGATTGTGTAAATCATGGGATACTCTTGCGCAAGCTCCAACGTTATGGTTTCAGGAATCAGAGCCTTAGTTGGGTCGAGTCTTATCTGAGTGAACGTACCCAATTCGTTAAAACAAATACTAACTCAGAAACTAGATCAGTTAAACATGGTGTACCACAGGGCTCTGTACTGGGACCTATCCTGTTCTTATTGTATTTTAACGATTTGGCTAGACTCAAGATCGATGGTAGTTTTACTATATTTGCAGACGACACGACCATCTTGTGGCATGAGACCGATATAAATAGATTACACAGGAGAATTGTTAATGATATCCCCCCTGTAGAAAGGTGGTTTAGCTCAAATTTGCTCTCTTTGAATATAAATAAAACCCATCTCTTATCATTCAAATGTAATCTACCAGATATTCCTTTGAGTACTGAAGTAATCATTGAGCAAACGCATACGAGCAAATTCCTTGGAATCCATCTGGACAACAATTTAAATTTTGAGAACCATGTGAAGTCTTTGAATACAAAACTAGCACGTGGGTGTTATGCTTTGCGAATGGTGGCGAAAGAACTGGGTATAGCCACTGCGAAGGTAGTATACCACGCTCTGATAGAATCACATATCAGGTATGGAATACCTTTCTGGGGTATCTGCAACCAACAAAACTTCAATAGTGTATTTGTTCTTCAAAAGCGTGCTGTTCGATACCTTTGCAAAGTTGGGCCAAGAGTATCTTGTAAACCGCTGTTCGGTCAAATGAAAATCCTCTCTCTTCCGTCGTTATTTATTCTCGAAACAGTGTGTCTAGTACACAAAAACAAATCATCATACGAGGTAACAGTTGGTATCACTAGACAAAGTAACAATTTGCGATTACCTATTCCGTCTTCAAATTTAACGAAAAACTCTCTGATCTATAGTGCGATTAAACTATATAATCACCTCCCTCCCGCCTTCAAAAACATAGTTTTGCCGTCTCATTTCAGGAGATCTGTCAAGCGCTTACTTATCGATGAGGTTTTTTATAATGTTCAAGAGTTTCTTGAGAAAGATTGGAATAGTTAAAATGTATGTCTATTTTAACATTTTGGAATTGTATTCTAATGCTCAATTCATTTTGTATCTGTCTGTTCTCTTTTATTTTTTTCTTGTGTTTACGTAAATATGTATTTATTATGATTGTGACAATGCTATAGTACCTGCTCTATACTATTTATTTATATAAAACTTATTTAATTATTTATTTTATATTCATCATGACTTTATCAATGAGATGAAAATCTTCCGATAATAAAGTATATTTTGATTTGATTTGATTTGATCAACCGCCATACCAGTGATCATGTGACATGTGTGCAAATCGCTACTCCAATGATAATCTCTGGTAGAAGTCTATATTTGCTCAGAGTGGAGTGGAATTTTTCGAAGGGAAGAAAGAAAGCTCAAAGTCATCTCCACACTTCCGAGGATGGATGATTAGTCAAAGAGACAAGTTTTGGACTCAGAAAAGTCCATCTACAGCCTAAGTACGAAGTTTCTACAATCAGAGTTGTGAAAGAGATCTGATAACAGAAAGAACAAAATGATTGACCTACATGGAGATGATTGACTTACATGGAGGGAAGAAAGTTTGATTGAAATATTTGGTGCCAACGCCAAACGTCATAATTTCATCAATCAAAAAGTGAAAGAATCGAAAAACACGGTTTTCATTTGAAATGACGGGTCCTGACAGTGCGCTTAATAATTGCTGATTTCAAGACCACGGAAGGCAATAAACAGATTGCCCTGGATGATCATAGGACACTTTTTGCCACAATTCCTCCCTTTTTAATGATATTGAAAACATTTTCACCAATTTCATGAATATTATTGCTATTTTTCTCTACACTATTGATGATATCTCGAATATTTTAGTTAACTTCAGAGATGAAGTCCCTTTGATACACAAATTGAGAGTTTTTTTATCGCTTGGAGCGCACGAAAAGAAATCCCTATAATGTTCAAAGAACATCGTGCGATCCTAGGGAGGATAGGAACAGGAGTTAGGTATTTCTTGCTCAGATCCCAATTGCAATGCTCAATATATTGGCCAAAGCAGTCGGAGGATCATAACTAGATCATGAAACACGTCAAAGCAATTGAACAATGGAAGAATGTTCCCATTCTTATGGATGAGTACAACACTGAAAGTTCTTTCGCAAACCACATATCAAATTCTAAACATGATTTCGATATTGACCAAGATTTGAAAATTTCACATGTATGTCAGGAGCGTAGTTGATTGGATATGCTGTATGCTATATCTGTCACATCACTCGATGAACAGATACATTTCTTGATTGTGTATTTTTCTTATCCTATTGATTTTACCAACCTGTAGCTCAGATCTTTCCACCTTCCTTGGTCCTATTATTATGATTTTCCTGATTCCATTCATTTCCAGATTCTGCATCTCGACTGTATTGGAATTGTCTCCCTATGCTCCTTATTGTCTTTTCTGTACCGATAAGGTTTTGTTGTGATATGTATCCACTTTTGGGTTCTGGTTGCCGCCATCCCAGTGTTTGCACTTTCTGATTGCTATTGTTTTGTGCTACTGCCCATCATATCAGATAATCGACTTATGTCATTGTCTTTTCAATATAAATTTCTGTTTGATTTAGTGTTTTTCATCATTTAGGTTGAAGGGAACACTTGTTTTGGCTTTTTGACCCTATTAATTTAATTTTCATCAATCGATATTTAGAATTCTGTGGCGTTCTCGTAGGGGTACATACACAAAACCCTTTCTCACATTTTTCCCGTTTTTGTCAAAATTCCCAACGATCTTTGGTAGACATTGTCCAGCAATGGTCCTTCAAGTTCTTCTTTGGGGTCATGAAATTTGCATTCATTAAACGCGCTCTCAGGGCACGAACCCTTCATATCGGATGAAAACCCGCTTAATTTGATTTTATCACTTCTTGATTCATGATATTTTGGCACCAACAATTTTGATCAAACTATTCTCACTCCATGTAATAAATAATCATTTTGTTTTATGATATTAGATCTCTTCCACAATTCTGATTGGAGAAACTTTATACTTAGGCCGAAAATGGCAACATGTCCGTTTGACTAATTGATACATCATTGGAAGTGTAGGGATGACTTCGATCTCTTCATCCTGCCTTTGACTCTAATAATACATTTTGTCCTTACATCACGAACTTCATGGATGACACTGTAACTGACCTGAACTAGATCACTAGAATGAACCATTTTCTCCTCAGAGCTCTGTGAATTTTTTGTAATTATTGAAATACAAAAATTCATAACATGAACGCAAAGTTGTTCGTGACGATATCCACCGTAATTAGTTTGATTCAACCATGTTACGATACAACTTGCGATCTAGATTGCGATCTGGAATTCTATTAACAGAAACGTCACGACCTGTTTAGTTTTGAGATTATTACAGTGTGAACTCTCAAACCATTGTGTTTGACATCTCCACTTTTAGAAGTCATGACGTTTATCATGTAAAAAAATCACCCTCGTAAAGAAGTAGTCTTTGATAACCCTGCGGTAAAAGTCAGTTATTGCTCTCAATGATTGTTATTATTTCGTTCATCGAAAGCCACATTCCAATCGCCACAGTTAGTAGCAATGAGATACTCCAAATTATAAAAACAGAGCATAGAGATTCGAATACTGTTTCAAACTTGAATTTGGAATATAATAGAAGTCAAATGTTGTTAGTCGCTATGACAATCGAAAAGCGGCTGAATCTAACTGTTGGAATAGAGAAGTCATGAACAAATATAGTTTGAAAATCGCCACAGGCACAGATTTGAAAATCGTGATCACAAAGTATCAACTGAACTCCATTCCTTAATATCATATATATTCAGAATCATGTTAGTTCTGTTTGAAATTGATTGATTTTTTGATGCTGACAACATCATTTCACTCAATCAACTCTGCTTTTCAGGAATATTTTTGACTTTTCTTTATAAACGAATGGAGTTCTATAACTGCCACAGTCATTAATTCAATTCTAAAAACTTGATCAGGAAGTTTCAACTGAACTCTTCTTCTTCAAACATATCTGTTAGGTCTTCGTGAAATAGATTGATTTCCGTCAGAAACATCCCTGACTCTCCTTTCATCAATTCAAGTCCCTCTTTCATTCTTTGTCTCACAGTCCTGAGCCACTTTCCAATTACCATAATAAGGAGCACCAAGTTATTCCGTAAAATAAAGCTCAGCAATAATTGTATTATGTACTCTTTTGATTAAAGATCTACTCTAACTTACTCAGTGCTACTCGGTGTGGCGATTGGAAAGCGGCATAGTTCTTATCCTTCAATAATGTTTTTGAAACATTTGAATCGTTCACCATCGCGTACCTGTATCAGTTAAAATAATTGTAGTGTTGTTGTTCCAAAGACATTCTTGCCTGATCTGACCCTCATTTCCTACAAAATGACTCCCAATTTTTGTCATTGATCATACCCATTGGTATAACAAATTGATGATTCAACAACCATCAGATCATGCGCTGGCTCAATGAACAGCTGTCGTAGAACTAGAGATACTCCATGGGTAAGCTTTGTGGTGGTCAGATGAAAAATCAAGAAAAACAGGATGAAAGCTGCGCAAGGTCCACAGAATAGCCTGAATACATCCTTAGAACCTGGTTGGAGAATATGACAATGTCCCTAAGATATTAGCTGAATTGACATGAATTGAGCTGAGATAGTACTTTTGCATTCACTGCACAACTGGGAGAATGCTTTTTTTCAATAGATTTCACTTCTGTTCATTGTTTCAATTAGTCTTCAGTAGATATGCGAGAGCATAGTGTGATTTGACAAACTTGAAATATCACAATTGACATTATGATATTTTATAAATTATGATGGTTCTGAAACTGTCAATATCTGACGAGTATGGTTTATCTTCATATTCATAACTGAATGACCGATTCAGTGTATATCTCTTGGAATTATTTTTCCAGAAAAATTCTCAGATGCAGAAATCCATAACTTGGAGATCAAGTGGTTTTCAATAACAATCCCAGAATCCATAACCCCATTTGAAGAAAAGACATAGCCAAGCCTCCTGTTTATTCTGAGAATGATAAAGAGATGAAAGGTGCGTATTATTCTCGATAGACTTCCCTATATTCTTGGGAATATTTGTGGGAAGCAGTTGAATGTGATCAATCAATTTGATATCTTCGTTTTGTTTTTTTTCGAGCATTCGAAAATCTTCATTTTTTTTATAAAGAACGCAAACAACGAAAGAATTGAATCACAAAGAAATCTAACTGATTAGTTTCATTCGAGTGCTTTCCACGAATTTTCCCAAGAATATTCCTATCGAACAGTCAAGCAAGCTTTTCCTAGTTAGACTTTCCTGTACCTGTATTTTTTGCCAGACTATAACACAAGTATTGATATCATGTGTGATTGTATCGCAATAGTAAATGAAAAACAGAGTCTCGCTCTTAATATACAGGGTGAATTAGATTTCAAGGTACAAACTGAAATGGGATTATTTCGATCAAAATAGCTCAATTTCACATCTGTTTGATCTCGTTCAGTAGCGGAGCTACAAGGAGTCAAAGTTTGATATTTTTTTCTATTAATTGAAATATCTCGCTTACTCCTCAAGATATTATTTCGAAATTCGGTGTGGTCAATACTTTCTTGAAGCTCATCATTTCGAGTCATTTGAAAATTTTCTAAATCTACAGGGTGATACGTTTTTTGAGGTAGAGGCTTCGTTATCCCCCTCAAACTTTTTTGTAGTACGCCTCTGGCATCTTTTAGTGATCAGAATGTGTGGAACGTTCAATTTAGGGGCTTCTCCATCAATCAATTTATTTTGAGAAACGTACCGTTTTTGAGATAAAGAAGCATATACGTTCTAAAACATGTTTATTCAACCTATGTTTCTCTTAAATTGTATTCTTTGACAACATTCGTTGAGAATGCAATGAAATGTACCCACTTGAATTACAATCACTAGTCCAATCTGGATCAGTAACAGGAATACGGCGGGTAGAAAGTAAAGGTTTTTTTTCAGTTGAATAAAATTCAAGCGGAACATAGGGAAAATCAACATGTTTCAGAACGTGTGTGCTCATTTGTCTCAAAAACGATTCGTTTCTCGAAAAGAAGCCTTTAAATTGAAGGATCCACACAATTTGATCACGGAAAGATGCCAGAGACGTACTACGAAAAGTTTGGGGATGATAAAGAAGCCTCTACCCCCAAAAACGTATGACCCTGTAGATTTTGGAAATCCTAAAATGGCTTGAAATGATGATCCTTCAAAAAGTATCGACCACACCGAATTCCAAAATAATATCTTGAAAAATAAGCGAGATTTTCCAATTGATAAAAAAAAATAATTAAACTTTGACCCCCTGTAGCTCCGCTACTGAACGAGATCAAAACATATCGTATATAGAAGCCTGTGGTACTACAATAATGGGCAAATTATTCAAAAAACCATGAGATCTCCCCAAGGAATACAGAAAATGTATAAAAATTGACGAAGGACATTTTGAGATTCTTCGATAAAGAATATTAGGATACAGACAAGTCTTTTTGGAAAATTATGTTTTGTTATTCTTTTCAACAACCAAATCCGGTCGTGATTATTTTCAAGAATCTTTTTTCTTAACTCGTTGCTGCTATATGACATGCAAAAAAACTGATTCGAATACTTTTAGTCAAATTTAGTTAAAAATGGCCCGGATGAAATCGAAGAAATATGCATCTGAATTGTGTTTGATATATTTTCACCAATCCGGTCGAAGTGTACTGTTCAAATTGAAGAGCTACACTTGTAGTATTTCTCCTAATCTTTTTGATTCTGATGAGAGTTTTCGAAAAATACAATTCAGAAAGTCGAAATTGTCATATTTGAAAGGAAAATGAGTTATCTTGTCAGGATCTGGAATTTTTTTTTCATAGTAAGTCATCGTGGAGGGTGTCAATAGAGGTGAATTGCTGATGAATTTCAAGCGAAAACATCAAGACGTTTCTGGAATATCGTTCATCAAAATTCGAATAATGCCTTGTATTTCTGCTATGAATAGGCAGAATATATGTTTTCACATATACATCATCTCACCTTGACTACCTCTATCCGCCATTGAACTATGATTGGTTAGTCCTGACTCACCCTGTATAACTTCTCAGTTTATCTCCTTACCAATCTTTATTAAAATCTCCCACGAATAATATCTTTATATTTTCGTCAGATAGATTTTCATCACACCAATGTTCAATGAATTCAAGAAATAAATTAACTATACTGTTTGATGGTGACCTATACAAACAAAAAACAGAATAGTTCATAGGTTTGAAAGAAAAATTGACTGATAGCCAATGAGTATTATCTCTATATTCTAGTTCCACTTCTGTAATTGTTGAGCATTGACTAATATAAATAATTGCACCTCCAGTGTGTCTACTATTACTTTTCACCCCATATAATTAAAACTCTGTAAAGAAATTTCACTATCATAAATATCTGCATTCACTTGTGTTTCAGCAAGACATACAATTGATGGTTCTTTTTCAATAACATATCTTTTAATTTCTTCAAAATGTGCCGTCAGACTTCGAAAATTCAAATATAAGAGGAAGCAACCGTGTTCCACATTATTTCCCCTTTCTAATTCATTCCTTCCTCTTAGAAATTATTTTCACCATCTGATTGATTGCCATTATTCTTATCACCGATATCCATGGACCTATCCCCTACCAATGTACGAAAAAATATGCGACTCCACGATTTGTTTTCTTCATTGGAACTTTTTCTTCGCTCGTTGATCGACCTAAAACAGTCTCTTATATTTTTCAGATGGCTCGAATATCACGCACAGGATAACCTTTGTTCCAGTCCACAGAGACCATGGAGTTGAATACTTGCAGGTCCAGCGCTACGAACTTGATTCGTATGGGGTTAGAGATACCTCAGTACACTGGCAAAATTTATACGAAGGTGACACAATCCGCGCCAATAGAGCATTCAATAGACTTGCCCAAAACCCAATGGAAATAGGTGCTGCCGTAGAAGGAACATTGAGAGAAGGGATGACCAATATGTTTAGACTATACACCGAACAATTGATTAGCAGCGTGCCATTAAGACAACTTCGCAGACATTTTGTTAACCACTCTTAGGATATTTCAACTGCAAAAAATATTGAATCCTTCATTTTGTGGCATGTGCAATGATGACATGAATAAAGTTCATTGTTTGATTGACTGATAGTTCATCGTTGGACATAAAATGAATTCAAATTTGATAATTAATGATATATTATTGATTGAGAGTAGTGGGAACCTTTCACATATTTCATTCCCATTATACCATGAGTAGTTATAATACGATTCATCCCTATGCCTTTTGATTCACAGTAATCACAAGCCTCTATGGATAATAAATTGGAATCTCTGTTAGAGCTGATAATGTAAATATCTATTATGTAATTTGTCCCGAAAGACTTCAGATAGTCCGCAACACTGATCTGTTGCAAATCATTGAAGGCACTGATGTTCTTTCCATCGTGAAAGGAAACAAGAACCTAGGACATTTGTTGGATTCCGATATATGATTCACAAAACATACTGAATCCAGTTTTATTTCAGAAAACGTCAATAAAATTCCAGAAAGCATCAATTATTGTATTTCAAAATAATATCGATTGAATTTCAGAAAACGTCATTTGAATTCGGATCGATCTTTTTTGAAATACAAATCACACTTTTTGAAATACTATTGACTATTCAAAAATTCAATTGACACATTCTGGAATTGAATTGACTATCTTCAAATAAATTAATGTTTTCTGAATTGAAAGTGACCATTCTGAAATGAAATTGATACTTTCTGAAAGACAACTGGAAAGTCGTTTTTTTGTGTCAATCTTCAAGCTGTTAAGCTCAAACTCATACTTTGCTATCGAAAAAAAAATCCAATACCTACCTCCTCTCCTCATCCTTCCTAGGTACGAACGATGTTCTCCGGACATCATAGGGATTTCCTTTCGTGCGCCCTGAAAGATTGAAAATACCTATGGTCTAACATTATTACGAACTGATTCCCATCGCTCACAATGCATACCAAATTCACGTTGGCAGTTTTATTGTGGGGTGCGTAAATATATTAACATCTCTACTAACATGGAATCTTCTGGTTGGTTACTATTATATCTGAGGGCATGAGGTCTCGAAAACTGGCAAACCAGACTATTTATCGTAACGACTGAGGACCTTTTCACATTCACCATACAGAGTATATCTTAACTCGATCTTTAAATGGATAACTGAAAGTTGCACGATTCTGAGAATTATTACAATGAAGATTGTAGATTGTTGATTGTAGATAGGTCGTATATGCTGAGAGACCTCTCGATCACTGCGACCTAGAAGATCTATTGTGATTACCCCTATCTAGTTTTGGTCCTCTTACTCTAGACTTCTGATGAAGCCTACGATTTTCCTGATGGTTGACTTTTCCACTTCAGCAGGGGTGAGATAGACCTGTTCTAGGTGGTTCAGCCTTTGGCGGACTAATACTTCACATGAGCAAAGTATGTGTTCCGCGGTTTCGGTCGCATTGTTACAGAAGCGGCAAGTGTCAGTCTCCGCCAGACCCATCTTTTTGAGGTGGTACCTCAGAGGGCCGTGTCCTGTGAGAACGCCTGTGATAAGCTTCAGCTCTGGTTTGCTGAAGCTGAGTAGCTCTTTGGCTCGGTTCTGCAAATGGTTTTGATGAACCTTTTCGCAAGTTTTATTGTTCCCTGATTGTCTACGTGAATAGGGAAAGGTTCTGCAAAAGACACATATTTCTCAATTTCCATACCCAATTTCTTCAGGAATACAAATTCTTTGGCAGTCTTACTGAGAGCAATGAATTCTGATTCAACAGTACTCAGAGCAACGCAATGCTGTTTTCGACTACACCAGCTCACTACTCTGCCTCCCAAAATGAATAAGTATCCACTAAAAGATCGCCTGTCTATTTCATCTGCACCCCAACGTGCATCCGTAAAAGCTTCCATTTTCTTTCCAGTTTTCTTATATTCAATGCTATATTCCTTCGTTCCATTCAGATATCTCAATAAATGTTTCATTCCTTTCCAGTGATGTTTAGAAGGATTATGATTGAATTGACTCATGAATGTAGCAGCATACAATGAATCCACTCTCGTCGATACCGCTAAATACAAGATGCTTCCAATCACTCGCTGATAAAGGTTTTTCTCATTTTCATCGAGAGGATCATCATCATTCAAGTGAAATTTTTCTCCAAGTGGTAATGGAGTAGAAACAGTTTTAGATTTCAACATGTTCATCTCCTTCAAAATTTCATTGCAATATAATGTTTGATCAAGTCTTAAGCGTCCACTCAATCTTGTCACTTTTATAGATAAGACATTTCTCACTTTTACCAAGTCCTTTGTATCAAAATTCTTCTTGAATTCCTTCTTGATGTCTTCTATTTTTCTCAAATCACCATATATTAAGATGTCATCAACATAATATATACAGTAATGATAACATCGTCTCTCCTCTTATAGTATACACATGGATCTGATAAACATCGAATGAACTGTATAAATTAATATCATCATGCTTTTGCACTGCTGTCCTACTATCCTACCAGTCGCTTGCCATATCTTCAACTATTGCCTGAATAAAAACGTATTTCCATCCATCTGGAAAAAATCTTTCATATTGCCACTACCCAAAGTAACTAATCCCGATGAATACAAATGTCTTCGGCCTATAAGCATACTCTGCACGCTCTCTAAGGCCTTCGAAAGAATAATTTTTTGTCAGGTGCAGCGTCATTTAGAAGAAAATTGTATAATACCTTGGTGTCAGTCTGGTTTTAGATCTCAGCACAGCTGCGTAACGGCACTCCTCAAAGTTACAGATGACATATTGTGTGCTTCGGACAACAAACGTTTGACTGCCCTCGTTATGCTGGATTATACAAAAGCCTTCGACCGAATTAAACACCAACTATTATTACCTATTCTTCATTATATTGGATTCTCTGAAGGAGCCGTTGCTTTACTACAAGCTTACTTGTTCAATCCTATGCAAGCAGTACTATTAGATCAGCGCTGCTCTGAATTTCTTGTTGTGGAGAATGGAGTGCCCCAAGGATCAATTTTAGGTCCCGTGCTTTTTATCTTATATACACACGAATTCCATAAGCAAGTTCAGTTCAGCAATTGTCACTTTTATGCTGATGACACGCGAATATATATGTCATTCCCTGAAAACGAGCTATTGGAAGCGAACAATAGGCTCAATTCAGACCTTGAGTCCATTATATCGATATCAGAAAAATATTGCCTGTCCATTAACCCTACGAAATCGGTTGCCATGTTAATTGGTAAAAAAGAAGCCCGTGCTCGTTGTTCGGATTCCTTTATCATCAAAATCAAGGATTGTATACTTCCTCTGTCTGAAAGTTCGAAGAACCTTGGGATTATACTAGATACGTCGCTAAACTACACCAGACATGTCAATATGATCATCAGGCGCGCTTTTTGTAATTTGAAATTGATTTATGCCAACAGAAAAGTCTTAGACAAACGTAGTAAAATAACTTCATGTGAGTCTCTAGTTCTCTCTCACTCAAATTATGCGGACATCATCTACGGACCCGCCATAACTAAAAAAGATCTCCAGCGTCTTCAACTCATTCAAGACTCTTGCGTGCGTTTCATCTGTGGCATGAGTAGACGTGATCATATTTCCGGACCTCTGAAAGAGCTAGGCTGGCTCAATGTTGAAAACAGGCGAATTCTTCACTCATGCACATTATTTCACAAAATTATAACCACACAAAAACCATCGTACCTGCATGAAAAAATTACATTTCGTACCGACGTCCATAACCTGAATACACGCTTTAAGTCTTTACTTACTCCACCCCTGCACAATACAGTACAATATCAATCGTCTTTTTCATTCACGATAACTCGGCTATATAACAGGCTTCCCGATGCACTCAAAAAAATGGTAATACGTCTAACTTCAAACTTCAACTGAAGAAAATACTCCTATCAGGTGATCTTGGCTTCTAAGCATTCTTATAACATATTTTGTATGTGTATGTGTATGTATGTATGTGGGTATATGTAAGACGTATATATGTGTGTATATAAACTACTCAACACTAATTTCGTCGCACACCAAAATGTCGCCCCTGATATGATGTGAATAACTTTTTTCAGTTTAGAACAATTTGAATTTGGTTCACACTGTTCGATAGCCAAGTCCTTCAGCTATAATCTGGTACTCCATTGAAACATGAGGGTATTCACATAAAATCTCTACATGGTGTTTTCCGACACTGTGCGAAATTTTGGAATATTCAAAAGGCTCTCAAATGGTGAAAACAATTTTTTTCTCAACTTCGACAACAGAGGCATGAAGATGAGCTCATTACCTCGAGATATTTTGCGAATCAACTTCCTATCTCTCTTATCTACAGAGTGATCTCAAAGAATCTAATTTTTGGTTTTGCAGCCATAACTTTTTTCCACGTAAACCGATTTTGGAAATCTTATGCTCATTTTGAAGATGAAACTTTAGATGAAGAGATCTGAATATCAGAATTGACTCAAGATGGCTATCAAAGATCTAGAGTTTTCTTGAAAGTGACCCAAATCTGGAAAGCCCTCCGAATCTCGGTTGGGAGGAGAATTGAATGAAAATCAACTTGTTCTCGGAAAAACAATTCATTCTGGATGCGTCCATATTTTCCTCGCTCACAGTACTCAAGAATGTGCGTGAGAAAACACAATTGAAAAATGTTCTTGGCATGGCCCGTAACCAACGTTACAAGAATCACAGTAAGTGACTGACAAGTCAGGTTAGACGTCGTTTTCAAATCATAAACAGATTTTGATAGTTTCGAATTTGATGCCGCATCTAACGACCGACCAGTTGGAACTGATTCCACAAATGAGGGAACAAGGGTTATCTTCCCTCCAAATCGCGGATCTGCTAAACACGACAGTCCGATCCATTCAAAGGGCTTATCTCCGACACGAATTTTTTGTTTATTACTGTCGATTCGTTCGACGCATTATTGCAACTGAAAACTTCACGTTATTGGCAAACTGTTTTCGTGAAACTTCCACCATTTTTTGAAT